ATGAGAGAAGCCCCACACAAATGAAGCTAATAGTAGTCAAAGGCAGAGTGACATAAGGTCACTAGGGGCACTTATGAAGAGTCTGTATAGCAGAAAGGAAACAAAAACCCTTGCATTTGTCCTATTCGGCTTTAATTGTCACAGGGTCACCTAAGATAGGAATCTCAATCGAAGGACTGCCTATATCAGGTTGGCCTGTAGGCGTGTCTGTGAGGGGTTGTCTTGATTATTGGTTGCTCTATAAGGACCAAGTCCACAATAGGCAGCACCATTCCCTGGCTAGTTGATCTTCTGCTATAAAAGAAAGCTAGGTAAGCATGGGTCTGTGGGTAAGCCAGCAAGTGGCTTCCATTTCAAGTTCCTGCTTGAATTACTACCCCAGCCTCTCTCAGTGATGGATTATATCCTAAAAGTATAAACCGAATAAATCCTTTCCCTCAGTGACATGTTTTTTCTTACACTGTTTATCACAGCAATAGAGAGGAAACTAGAACATTTTAGATAGAATGGTTAAAATGAGCCCTCATGCTTTAGAGTCCCCTTTTTTGTAGTATAGAACATCCATAAGTCTCTCTTACTAGTCTGAGTGTAACTAGGGCCAATTAGTCTTGCATACTTGTTGCAATCATTGAAAAGAAGTGAAAATGAAATGGTAGGTAGTATTTCCTGTCTCTTAATGCCTACCTGATAAAGCACATCAGTTAGGTGAGTTGGAACATCTTAGAATGAGAAGTGGCAGGAAGTTGTGATGGCTATTTTTGGTTGTCAACATGACAACATATGGAATTAACTAAAACTCAAGCACCTGATCACACCTGTGAGGAATTTGTCTTGATTAAATCTTTTGATGCATGAATACCCACCTTTAATCCAGATATTTTGAGATGGGAAGAGCCACCTCTAATCTGACCCATACCTTCTGGTAGCAAAAAAAATATAGAGAACATGGAAGAAGAAAGATTTTGATCTTTGCTTGCTTATCCTTGCTCTGGCTTGCAAGTCCATTCCTTCACCAACATTAAAGCCTACTTCTTTGGGGATACAGTGCATACTGAAGAGCAGCTGAGACATCCAGCCTCAGAGACTGAACAAGTACTGGATTTTTGGACTTGGCATTAGTAGACAATCATTGTTGGATTAGCTGGACCACAGCCTATAAGCCACTCTAATAAAACCTCTTCATACATATTCATCCTGTCAGTTCTGTTTCTCTAGATAACCTTAACTAATACAGAAGGGAAATAAATATCTTAATATCACATTTTACTGGAGGTAGTGATTCCTGTGTAAAGTATCAAGACATGCATACTTTTATTTATGATATTAAGTTGATCAGTTATTCATAGTTAATTTGGTATTGTGTAAATATCATGGAACCTGATGTGTGCACATACATTTTGTCATGACAAAATCTAAGTTTAAATCACATGAAAAAATTCTTGAGGGAGGAACGGGATCAAAACACTCACAAAAGAAGCAAAGCTTAAAAGATCCACAAGTTCCCTCTCTGAACTTAAAAACTCATTAACAACTACTAGGGAGAGTGCACTATCTAGCCCACTATGCTGTCTGGAAGTTAGATTTGGAGCTTTGGGTATATAGTGTCCATGAATTGTCCCTCACACTGCGGTAGGATTTTCAGTGGCATAGCAGCATGGAGAAACCCAAGCTCTTAAGTAATGCCTCACTCACACACCTGCTGGAATAAACCCAAAAAATCTCACTGGATTTCCAAGATTAGAAAATAACTTCTCAAGTATGAACTTTCTCTGCCAGTTTTTGAGGTGCTCATCTCCACGTGGCCCTGACATTGGGGACCGTCAGGGAGAACAAACACATAGTAAGGATTGGCAGATATATTTGTCTACATATTTCAGTGGGTTTTTTTCTCCCCCTTCCCATAGTCTTTCAAAGTTAAATAGTTAAATTTCAACAAATAGAATGCCTATATGATGTGATTTTACCATACTCTTCCCAATTTCCGGTGGTCTGAAGAGTCAGTCTTATGGAGCCTGCCTCAGCATGGTGAGCATGTGCTCACCTTCTCTATGCAACCCTGGTTGGGTTTTGATTTATATCCCAGGTCCTCGTCCAACTAAGGTAGTTTTTGGTGGCTCTCTAGAAGAATCAGACTGTTTGCTCAACTCACTGAAAACTGAGTGCCATTGTTCTTTGACTTCTCCTGAATTAAGAGCCAGTTATCCACCTCAGTATGACTATCACCTCTGCCAGTAGTGCCTGGCTCCATGACCTGCTCCTAACTCCAGTGCTTGGGAAAGTGATGATTTTTTTTCAGAATACACAAGAGTTATTTCTGCCTATTTGTAGCCAGATATTTTGGAGGAACCAACCTCATTGCTCAACCAGCTCCCCTGTGCCTGGAACCAACCATCAAGGCTAGCAGGAGGCTTCAGTTCAATGGCTAACAGGTTGAACTTCAGAGAGAGGTGTGAGTCTGTGGCCCTAGGAACTCTTGCAATGAAAGATTTCAGAGGATCTGTAATTTACCTCTTTTACTCCCCGCTTACTTCATGGAGCAAAACTACAGGGGAGAGCTAGGTTACTAGGCTTTGCATATCATCTGTTGCTACAGCTGACAGATACCTGGAGAGATGGGAATTTAAAGAGAGAACCATGACAGCAGGGATAAGGCCCCTTCCTCTGACCCAACTGCCATCCTTCTAATATTTCAGCACAGAACTTACCATCCTTCTAATATTTCAGCACAGAACTAGATACAGAATATCTATGCAGTCAATAGTTGTAGAAATAAACAATGAATGATCAAATGAAGTGATGCAAGAGTGACGAGTGGCTCGTGAGGTCCACTCCTGCATGTCTCAGTACCATCTGATCCTTGGTTAGAGGAATGGCAGATCACACCTGTATCCTCAAATGCAACACCTCTCCTTTTAGGCTTTCCATGCATTTATCACATCGTGTAGGTGAGGCTACACATCTAACTGAAGTTCATCACTTTTAAAGCCCCACAAGTGACACCAGCCACTGCAGGGCCAGTGCTATAACTTCATGAGGTTCCTGGCTAATCTTAGTTACACGGCCTCAAGACAACCTCCACATCTCAAATGGGAAGTAACTTCCTCACCATGCTTGTCTCTTCCTCCCTGCTGCCTCCCATGGCTAATAAGAATCCCAGAGCATCATCAGGAGTTTACACATCACAGTACTCTAGGACTTGCTGAGCATCGCCTGGTTCTGGAAACCTCTATCCTACCCTCTGGAACATTAGCACAACAGCCTGTGACTCTTTCCTGCTAAATTTCTCAGTTCTACCTTACTCATCCTGTATGGGAATAGATCCAAACTGGTTTAGTCATTTCCTGAAGTCTGTAAAACATAGGTGTCCGGACCTCCCATGGATACCAAAATCTGAGGTTTCTCAAGTCCCGTAAATGGCACAGTATTTGCATATAACTGTATCCAACTTTCCATTGCTTTAAATCATTTATCTGTTACTTAAAATGCCCAATATAATGCAAATGCTATGGAAATAACTGTACTGTAAAGTTCAGGAGATAGTGGCAAAGATAGAATTATCTATAGAAGTTCGGTATAGGTACTAACACCCTAGGCCTAATTACTTAAGCAATAAATTTTGCATCCATAACTGGTCGCATCCATAGATTGTAACCTAAGGATCAAGGAGGCTGACTGCAATGGTCAGACAGTTCCTAAGCTGGATAAGCTTACATGGATAAGCCACATACAATCTTTGTTCTCTGGGCATCAGGTTTGGTTGAGTCTCTTCCTAAAATACAGCTTTTCCTCTCCCTTGTCCTCCCAAAGACTGCTTTCTATGCAAGTCACGCTGTGCCCACCTGATGAGTTTTGTGCATGTGGGATCAGATTAACAAAATTAAAAGAAGAACAGAGAAAAGCAGTGAGCACCTTGAGTTAAAAAGAGGTGAAGGGAGTGTGCATGAGTCAAATGATGACTCCGAAGGCATCTTCTTCAGCCAACAATGGCTGAAGGCAAAGACACAGAGGATACAGCCCTTCACAAGCCCTTTCCCAGGTTGCTCTGCCCTCTCTGGCTCCTTACATTCCATGCCCATCAAAAGATAAACCTCCCCCCAATGCTCATTATTGAACTTGCACTCTGTACCATGCTGTGGGTGAACGTACTAAAACCAGACTCTGGAAGGCAGAAGGGACATCACCGTCACTTTGTTTAATTTCTGTCTCCTTGCTGGAATGCCGGGCATCCCTGTCAGGCAGCTGGACAGCTTTGTCTCAGACAGCGACTCAGAGCTTCCCCAAGCCTGACCATGTGAATCACCGAGGGCTCTGGTGATTCATAGCTCACCAATTAGACATAGCCACCCAAAGTCGGAGTCTCCAGGGCAGGAGCCTAGGAACTTGAATTTTCGGAGAGCATTCTAATGAGTCTCGCAATTAACCATGCTTTCTCTGGGCATGTAATGCAGTGGTTTATGACAGTGGCTTAATATTAAAATCAGCTAGGAAGCTTTCAAAAATGTCAATGACAGGCCTTTACCCCTAGACATTCCTACTTAATTGGCCTGGAGAGAAGCCCAGGCAGTATAATTTTTAAAGCTCCCAGCTGACTCTAATGGGCCGCTGGGGTCGGAAACCACTATAACAGCTTTCCAATCTGACGGTGAGCCCTTTGGGGACAGTAACCGAGAACCTTACACCTATTAGAACGCCTCACTATGCCCCACTACCATGTGGATCCAAAACCTTCCACAGCAAGGCAATCTGATTTAACCTGTTCATTCACCCACTGACAGAATGACAGACTATAATCTACCAGCTTCAATAAGATACTTACAGACTTCCACTCAGCCAAAAAAGCCAAAGATTGGGGTGGGGGATGACCCGCTAGACTCTTCTAAGTTCTAAAGTTGAATATAGACAACCCCAACTCTTCTCCAGCCCTTCCTGTTCCAGAGGAACCAAAAGAGCACCAGAATTCCACCCTATCCTCCCCACCCCCACCCCACCAGCTCACTCACATTGTACAGCACAGTGGTCCACCCTTCCATGGTGATGCACTGGAAGACAGTCAGCACAGCAAAAAGGATGTTGTCAAACTGGGTGATCCCGTCATTGGGGCCGATCCAGTCCTTACATTCATAACCAGCCGGGCAGCCCTGCACACCACACGGGTGGGGAGGATCAAATCCCTCTAGAATACCTGCAGATATATTTGGAGAGTGGAAGACAAACCACATGGTACTTAGCATGAACTGGAAACTCATCCAGGAAGCCTCAAGCAATTCTCTGCCGGGGTCAGAAGCTTCCCCTCTTGCCTCAGGCCCTCTCCCACACTGGGATCCCTCCACCCCTCCGTTCACACCCATGTGCAACTCAAATGCTTCTAAAAACTCTCCGTCTTCTTCAGACCCTTCTGACCCGAAGCTCTAGTTTGGCCTGTACTGCCATGGAAATTCACAGGGCTGGTTCCCACAGAAAGCACTGGATACAATGGCAAAATCTTACTGATTTTCCAAACCCCAGGCATCAGGATGAACCTTGGATCTCCCTGGGGTTCTCGGGTGCAGTTGTAAACCAATGGCTGTTTTATTTTCTTTACTCTTTGCTTGTGGGGCATATATTTATTGGTTTTAAACTAAAGTAAAAATCGTTTGGAGATTCTTTCCATAAAAGCCTGGTGCTTATTTAGGATTCTTTAACTTGTCCTTCATTCCCTCTGATCTCTTCCCTGACATTCTTCCTAGAGTATACTACTTAGCACGTGAAGAACAAATACGACACATATATTTGAGAATTGGGGTTTTGTGTATCCCACAATTTTCAAGGCACAATTGGTAAGCCAACTGCACAGTTTCCTCAGTTCTTCACAAAGAGGGTGGACAAGTGTAAGATGGAGCATAGAATGGAACTCTCTTTGCAGATCCACCAGGACCCCTATCTGATTCTGGTCTTCGGGGTCCCACTGGTTTATGGATCAAAGATATTCTGTGAAGTATTTATTCAGATCAATGGCTTTTGGTGTGTGTTCTAAATCCCTCTATAGATAGGGGATCTGAGACCACCTATTTGAACCCTTCCAACTCCAAACAAGGCAGTGTTTTACAATGTAACTGTCAAGCAGCTCTTTAAGCTGGTTGTACCTCAAAAGGCTACAGACCAGGAAGTTTTTAATTCTAGAGTTGGGATAAGAGTATACTTTTTCAGCAAGGCTCTAAATGCCCTATATGATGCTCATGACCAAAGGAGAGAAAAGGATGGAAAACAGAAGACAGAAAATAATGACCTTACCTGAATTGTTCATGAAGCATGCTCGATGTAACTTGCCACTGTAAAACTCCAAGCCAATGATGGCGAACATGAGGATGGCAAAGAAGAGCAGAAGGCCAATCTGCAGAAGAGGCACCATGGCCTTCATGATGGATTTCAACACAATCTGCAGGCCTAGAGAGAGGGAAGAGAATGAACCAGAGGCCTCATGTGTTGCCTCCTGACAAGATGGCCTTGTTTACTCTCTCCTAGTCTTCCATGCAAAAAGAACCATTAATCCTGAGATAATAGCTGCTATTCATGACGAGAATTACCAAGACAAGTCAAACTGAAGACTGTCAACACCGATGTCCCTTTTTCTCCTTTTCTTCCTCCTCACCATTCCCTGAGCAGCTGCCTACATATTACCCTCCCCTGCTTCCTCCATGATAATGTATAGATTTTTTAATGTACATTTCTTAATGTACAGAATAGATTCATTAGACTGTGTTTGCTGCTCAAAGAAAATTAAGCCAATCCCTGACAGTATACAAATCCTACAAAATAGGGACAAAATTAGGCCTTTCTACTACTAGTTCTCAGATACAGCTCTCCACCCACTGGAATGGGAGCACAGCACTCACTAACAAACCAGTAGCCGTTCACAACACATAGAGTTTTTCAACATCAAGAAACTGAAACACTTATTTCGGCAGATAAAACACACACATATAATGATTACAATTATATTAAAATGCATAGGGAAAATGAATAAAAATACATCAAATTAACATTTCCAAGTTATACAATAAGGAATGTTCTTCATTCACTTTCCTGTTGTTTTCCTTTCCTGTTTTTTTAAAGCATCCATTGTTATTTAAATATGAGAATATGTTAAATTTAGAAGTACTATGCTATGCCCAGTTGTTGCATGTCCATGGGCTTCCTCCCAGAAAGAACTCTTTCTTGTCTACCCTGCATTGTCTCGTACCCTGGATCCAACTGAGGATACTAGCCAATCAGAAAGAAGAAAGTGGGTGCTCACTAGGTATTCCTGACACGAGCTTTAAGGGCCTCAGGACACGCACAGCCCGGAGGGTCCGCAGATCCACATGGGTGTTGAAGTGGGTTCCCGCGGTGGCCAGGATGCTGTGGACGGAGACACAAGAGAATCAAGGTTACCACGGCCTGTCTGTTCCCTCCTGCTTCATGGGGAGTCAGAGCTATAGCAGGCTCTGCCTGGAAAGTACACAAAGCTGGTGCCAGCTGTATGTGGGCGCACCTGAGCCCGGGTGAATCACCAGTGGCATTGAGTGGAATTAAATATAGTCAGAAGGGTTTCACTTTGCAAAGGAAAAGTTACCTCCACCCTGGAGCCTTAGTCCCAAATTCTGAGCAGAACACATGGACTCCAACTAAGACCTGAACCAAACCTGGTCTCTCAATTTCCTCTCTATCCCTTGCAAAATTCTTTCCCTTCCTTTCATGCAACCAGGCCCTTATGTTTTGTTTGTTTGTTTGTTTTTTGGTTTTTTGTTTTGTTTTGTTTTTTATTTCCAAGTCGAATATTCCTGTTCTCTTTAGGGAATTTTTCTAGATTAACTTCAGTAAAGAAGTAACTTACTATCCTCCTCCTGACACTCAGAATTTTTACCAAATAAATAAATTACACTGACATGCATTACTGGGAGCTATGTCTGTGGTCATTATACATTATTAATAGGTCTTATAATTGCCTCCAAACATTCTTTGACCTGCACTGGGTTTCCTTGCTTTCATTTTTCTACCTTGTACAGTCACACCCAGAAACACACATGTACTCACATCCACAAGAAGACTATTAGATTGTGCAGAGCAAGTATTAATGAGACAATGTGTTGCCTATCACCTAATAACCAAGAAGGTACTTTGTGGGACCAAGGGCACACATGTATTTGTGAGTGGTAGAGCAGATGACTAAGTGTTAGAAGAATTAGGTTTAAGTCTTGGCCCAAAGAACTATGTACTTGATACAAATGACTCAACCTCTAGGTGCCTATTTTTTTTCTTTTTCATCTATAAAATAGAGGAGTACAATGACCTAGTTTTAGATATAAAGACCTCTCTGGGCCAGGCATGGCAGTGCGTGCCTATAATGACCGCACTTGCAAAGCAGAGCCAAGAGGACTGCACGTTCAAGCCCAGAAAAAGCTACTCAGTGAAATACTATCTCAAAAAAAAGTGTACTGGAAACTATAAAGTGCATAATTGACATTGTTTCTGACACAAAGATCAATAATATTGATTTTAAAATTTGCTAGCTTATTCTTTGTTTTGTGAGATAATACCTCTTATCCCTTATAACTTCTCTAAGATTAGCCCCTCTATTCAGAAGCATTGGGAAATGAGTCATTTGGAAAACTGCATAGTTAGCAAGAAGGGCTGATTTAACTATTCTTAAACCTCTCTGAAAGATTTCAGATGCAGGCAAAGAGAACCATATGAAAGGCCTGATGGCTCTAGGAAGCAGATGCAAGATCAACAGGTACTGAGAATTCCAATGTAGGACGACATAGTCCCAGAGAGATGTCTGTGCACACGAAGCTCAAGCACCCAACCAGCTGCCCCAGAGTAGCAGAGTGATCCCAACGTCAGCAGTGTTCAAGCACTTAACACTGCAACAGCTCACGTTAGGACACAGAGAGGATGCTAACACTGGATTACATTATTGGCATGAGTGGTGAAGACTGCTTTCGTCTTTAGGATCTTATACTTTGGACTAGGGGAGATGGCTCAGTATGTAAACTATTCACATTGCCAATACAAGAACCTGAGCTCCAATCCCCAGAACTCACATTAAAAAGCACATCTGTGAGACCAGTGATTGTGAGATGGGAGGCAGAATGTACATGGATTCCTGAAAGCCCAGGGTCAGCCAGCCTGTCTCAAACAGAGAGTAGAACACGTCTTAGGACCAATACATGAAAGCTGTCCTCTGACTTCCACACACAAACACCATGAAAGCTGGTACCCACACACATGAACAACACACACTCATACACACACACAAATAAACATACAGTAAATAAACAAAGCACTCCAACTCTCATAAAGAACTTGTGAGAAGCAAGCCTTTTAAGTGTTCCCCATCTTTTTTGACCCCAGCTCCCACAACATCACCTGAAAAGAAGAGGACACAGAGAGTGGAATCTCAGACACTAAGCATGAATCTAGCTTACAGTCAGAAGGGCACATTGGGAAGGGGATGGTATAATTTCTAGAGAGGAAAAAAAAAAAAACAAAGAGAAGTGTAGAAAATAGAAACTAAAAAATATGACAGAATAGACAAAAGGGAAAAGAAAAAAAGAGAAAGAGAAAGAAACTTCAAGGATATGTGAGGGAAAACAGGGCCATTGTTCTGCTTCCCCCTTGAACAAAGGCTGGACCCAATATGAGTCTCCTGTGTTGTCCAGGTGTGAGACTCCCCTTCCCTGTCTCTCACAAACACAGTGTGTGGAAATCTGCTCGGCTCAGAAACTAGAGTTCTGTTTCCTAGGATACCCAGGTACTCAGATGTTCTTTCACATCATACAAAGAGCTGCTGGAAGTGAAAATTTCCTCCACAGGCCTGAGTATGACAGGTATGCTTTGGAACAGGGAGGCAGAGGCAGAAGACAACGTTAAAAGAGGGCACAAACACACAATGACGAATGTGGTAGGAAGACAGGAAAATGAGACTCCAAGGGAAGCAGCTAAGAATGCAGAGATGCTGGCAAGGAGGAAAATAAGAAATAAAAGCTAATGGAGAAGCACGTGTCAGGGGCTCATGAAGGCAGGCTCACACAGGAAAGGGTATACAAGCAAAACTAACATGAAAGGCGGAGGAAACAATCTTATCACAAGGGGCTCACATGCCAGCCATAAGACACATTCACACTTTGGCCATCAAAATGTGCTCTTGACTGAATCCGTCTCACACTTCTAACAACCAATCAGGCCATCACACAGCCCATGTCTTCAAGCTTTCTTGTTCCTTAGAAATTTCTTTTTTTCTTCCAGTGCAGGAAGATGATCAATAGAACCTTTAAAATATACATAGCCACTGGCTGCTTCTTAATTTCTATTGTTCACAAAGTCCTTGAGGTCAGGAGCTACAGCTTGGCTCCCCGGACCACCTGTCAAAATCAGAAGCAATGGATCCACAGAGGGCCAAGTTAATTGAGAAAAGGGGCCGTGCTCTGGGTTCCCATTAAACCCTGTACCTATCTCCACATCACCACATCACAGAGGAGTTTGACATTCTCATCCGCTCCTCTCCAGGCATGAGCCACCTAACAGAGTCATCTGTGCCCCGCAAAGAATCAACTGTATCCTCAAACTTACCCTCATAGCTACTAAACAGATGCTTGATGGTTTGATCCTAATCTTTGCTGACAAAAAAAAATAATGAATTTGCACAGATCAGTAACTGATAGAGGCCAAAGGTATTCTCAGACTTCCTGATGAGAAGATCAGAAAAGCAAATCTGGGATGCTACTCATACACAGGTATATTTGAGCATCTAAAAACCCATCCTCCAACATCTAAATTTTGATGAGGACCTTATAATATACTCCTAAGACTATGTACCCAAGCAGGACCCCAAATGACAGGATGTCCTACATAGGGATGATAGAGGAAAAGGAGATGAAGATAAAAGGCTAGAAGCTTCCTCCACACCAAAACCTAAGCGTTGATGTACATACAGCTCAACACAGCTCTATCAAATCTAATGCAGGAAGGCAGGGGGAAAGAGAGATAGGAAATAGTTCTTGATGCTCAATCCAGTGAAAGCCATCACATAGAAGAAATAATACAGCACGCCATGAGGAGTCAACAGAGATGCTTAGGAAACACGGGGGTGACAAATACCGAATATTTACTCTCTGCTAGCATTTTCAAATGTTATGTCATTAAATCATTAAAAAAATCACCCAACAAGACTGTTGTCTACATTTCATTTCTGAGGAAACCAGACTCAGAGAAAAGTTAAGTGGTTTAAAGAAAGCCGGTTCCCTTATGACATTTAAGTCAGTCCCACCCCATTGTGCCACGATGCTGTGTGACGTTTGCTTTGAACTGCTCAGCAACACTATTCCAGAGTGTTGCCCGGTGTCACAGTGTTCTGTCTCTGAACACACAAATGGATTTGATGCCTTTAATCCCAAGGCCACAAGACCCCAACTGAATTGTCACTGGTCCTTTTTAGGACCATCAGAATCCTCTATGTACCATGACTATAAGGTTGCCTTAATGGCAGGTAGTGTCTGTTGCAATATTTATACATAAACTTGGAGACACACACACATCACAAATTCTGAGGAAGGCCACCAAGGACAAGTTCAATTCCGAGTTAATAAAAGCCTAAGCTCTCTGCTGTCCTAAGAGCCTTACATATGTATGCACAGGCTTTGTTTTCTATTTCTTTTTCCCTCATAGGCATTGAGCTTTCTGTATGTGGTGGAAAATCTGTATAGATGTGTATTTAATTCTTACTATCTCCCACAGCAGAAGGCAGACGACCAGAAATACACACAGAGTCCAGTTTAGTAATTGCTTCGGGCTGGCTGTCACAGCTCACCCCCTCCTCTAATATTTTTGTTTTCGGTTGTCAGCGGTTAAGAAGGCTGTGAGTGAAGGTTGATCTGATCCTGGTGATGGAACAGAGTCTTTCTAGTCATGGCAACTATTGTGGCACAGAAGAAAAGAAGGTTGAAGTGATGACCTAGACTATTAGGACTTAACCATCTTTCCCAAATCAGTCACCTACATACCTTCAGTGCTAGATTCCTTTTGACCTCAGGGACTTTCCTTAGCTTCCTTGCCAATCCAGGTCAATCGTCTCTTTTTACAGACCTCTTCTACTGTTCACTTCCATGTCTGAAAATACCCTGCAGCAGTGAGCTTATGTTTAGAATTGCCAGATAAAATATAGGTTGCACAGTGAAGTCTGAGTTTCATATAAAGAACAGAAATAGTTTTTAGTACAACTAAATAAGTTGAGTGCAGTTTTTTTTTTTTTTAATAATGTGTGGAATATTCATTCTTTATCTAAAATCTGGCATTTAAACCAAACCGTGGTGTGAATGTGAAATGCCCTCTCTCCCCTCTCCCCATACACTCGTGTGTTT